GGATCATTTAGATATTTTTTTTTATCTATCAGTGCCTGGCAATCCAAATTCTTGGTTAGTATGACCAAATATTTTTAACGCAATTCCTTCGTATTAGATTGATTTCATAAAACTATTTAAAGATTTTATATTATTAAAAAGAATATTTTTTTCATTATCGCATCTGACATAAATTGAATGAGACAAAACTAGCTTAAATATATTTCTTAATTTGCTGATAAAATTAAAAAAAAAATTATTATAACTATTCTTTGATGGCTTCTATAAAAAGTCCAAACTATGAACCATATATATCTTTTTCATGTTTTTGCTATATAATACTTTACATTAAATAAATCGCTCTCTTTTGTTATCTAAGTTTTCAGGGTTTGAGACTTTATATATAATAAAAACTGTTTATATTCAAAATAATTATGCTTATTTATGTAATTATTTAAAATATTACAACATTACTTTATGAAATTGTAGACATGGCAATAATTTTTAATCAGCATTTCCTTCATTGCAGTGAATTAATTTCGTAGGTCTTTTTTTCGTAGTCTTAGCGAATCTAGCAACGATTGAAATCGTTAGGGTTTTGTGTTACTTAAAAGTTTCTCTATTCAAATTTATTATTTTCTGCACTTTTTTAAGTGTGAAAATTGCGAACAAAAGGCTCAAAACGTGACTTAAGTATCATTTTATTGTATTTGGCAACAGGCAATAATGCTAATTTATTCCGCTGCCATTTATTGTTAAGATTCAAATAAAAAACAAAAATACATTAAATATAGCTAACAATGGCCATTTAAAAAATAATATAAAATTAGTAACACTTTTGATCAAAATATAATAATAATAAATAATTAGTAAAACATGGCTATTAATCTTCTTTTCTTATTCCTCAATTTTCCTCTTTTTTCTTTAGAAATAATTCTTCTGTGAATGGTTAAAATATATAAGTCCTTTAGCATCATATATATACCTATATATGAAATTAGTATTTTTATTCAAAATAATCTCCCGCAACTTTTACACATTTATTCCAATGATCCGTGAAAGAAACATCTAAGTATATTCAGATGAAACATAAGAGGTCAAAATGCTGTAAAAAATTTCCATTCTACTACTGGTTAAGAGATGTCGCTTTCAAAAGTTTGCAAATAACCTGTATCAAGAACTCAATTTTTCTTTCCTAAACTAATATATAGTACTGACCTGAATCTATGATCTTAAAGGCATAGAGCTAAGCTATCGTATGTAACTCTACATCGATTAAAAGTAAGTGAAAGCAAATATTCTATATTCACATACCTATTTATGTTTTAGCCACGATATTATTCTTAATAACCTTCAGTCAAGGGGCTAAGCGCGCACATCCTGCCGAATGTTGAAATCAAAACTCACTCTCTACCAATTATACTTCAAACAATATGTTATAGGAACGTTTCTCATAAGTTGATGAAATAATATTTGTATTAGGTCAACCAATGTGCTTCTGATCAATTTTTTCTTTATATTTGAGTTATATATGAGTCCTTTTAATTAGAATGTGAGACTTTTAATATTTTTGTATAGTATTCTCTTCCTCTATTAAATATTTTGGATCGGTATTAAGTTTCATATTGTCATATATATAATATTTAAAAGTACTTCTTTAAGTGTTCTTTTCCGCATTATAAAATTTGGATATTATGGTAAAAGGTATTATATTACTACCTTATAATATCCAATAATATCTTAAGGATAATGTATTATGGAGACTTCATTGATTTAAAAAAACCACTTGTTCACTTTTTTTTTCATATATCTGTTCAGATAGTGCTTCAATCTAGCACTCTTACTTTACTAAATTTGCTTACAGAAACTTTAATCCATTATTTTTTCGTTCAACCTCTATTTCACTTAATAAATAGGATACAATTTTTTCTTAATTTGTAGAGTTACAGGAGATACCTTAGTCATATTTTTCATATTTTATCTTGTTTTGTTAACTTAGAGAGGAACAGTAGATGACTCGTAATATTTTTCATATTCTACATTTTTGCTTAACTGGGATAGGCACATAAGACGACTTAGTCATATTCTTCGTAAACTAAATTTTTTCATAGCTAGGAGAGGGACAGCAGAGGCCTTGGTCATATTTTGTCCCGCAACTAGATGTTTAAAATTACCTTTCAAATTGGAGATACCAAATTGGAGGTACAGTAAAAAGAGTGTGATCGATTCATATGTGATCATGCATATTCAGGCACTAAAAAGGGACTGCACCAAATGATTTTATGTAATACATTTTTAAGAATTATCACTTCTAATAATAATTTTGAAAGTACAAAAAATCCCATATACAAATTAATACTTATATATTAAAAAGAAACATAATTTTATAAATTTATACATTTTATAAAAACATTTATAAATAAAACTAAACTAAAATTTAATGAAAAACTTTTTCTAAATTGGTTAAGTATTTAACTTTTTTGTAGAGCTTAGTTTGCCGATTAATCAGTTCTAAAAATATTAAGACATCGAAGAAATATGTAAGTCTTTTACAAATACCATACGAATGGCGATTATTAATCTTTCTATAAATAGTGGATAAGAGTGAGGCTATATCGATTTTTACAAGATTTCAATAAAGAGCCTCTTGATATATAAAAGTTATTTAGAAGTACACTGATAATGATACATAGAATCATAGTAATATGAGGTACATTTATTTTAGTCAGAAGAGGGACAGAAGATGCCTTAATTATCTTTTGCTCCACCATCAATGAAAAATGAAAATGGAAAGAGTGATCATATAAGATGCGATCGATTTGTTCTGGCTATACTGAATACTTTAATGCTATACTTTGAGGGACTAAACAAAAGGATTATGGATACATGTTTAACTCTGACAATCTTCTAAGGCATATTATAAGCAGAAACTTTTCCATCATAAGTTCAAGGAATTACCTCCTCCTTAAATGGCGCATATATACATATGCATATGTATGTTAATTTGTTATACATATGATTGGATTTTAAGTGTTTGGTTAATTAATACAATATGATTCCCTCATCAAATATTTATGAAGTGCGATTATATGTAAAAGTCAGTTATATGAAAGGTTATGTCGAAATAAATATTTTTTCTCTTTGATAACACTTTTTGAAATTTACATTTGGCGTTTCCTAGTAACAGCAGTCAAAAACTCAAATAATTTGTTAAACAAATTACTTAAGTTGTAAATGTTGTAAAGCATTCAAACGTCTTTCAACGTCTCATATTTGATTTATATGTTTTTTTTACTCTTTGAGGATTAAGTAAATATCTGTCAGGTAAACGTATTACATCATTGTACTGCGTAAAAGCTGGGAAACATGTTGTAGGTGATATGTTTAATTTAAATCTTGTTTTTAGTTAAAAAATCAATTTAAATAGATATTTTTTTGTGGAAGATAATCCAACGTTTACTGTCTCTATATTTTGATTTTTAATTGAAATTATGCTACTCAAATTAAACGAATTTACATAACTACCTCTTTCATAATATTAATGATGATTTAAAATTTTATTTAAACAGGAAAAGGATCGAAATATGGTATTTATTTGATTTTTATTATATTTTATAACTTTATTTACGAAAATTATAATATACTAGCTGGATTGATTCACAACAGGTGGCAACGCCAGAACAAAATCAATTATATTCTGTATATCTCACAAGCTGTAAAAGTTTTGACTTCATCGGGTGTTTGGTCAACTTTCTGCAAATAATTGAAATAGTGTACCTTGGTAATTTTTAAAAAATAGAAAATTTTGAATAAAATAGTAATTAAATCAGAGAAAAAATAGTAATAAAATACCTCCATTTGAAAGGAATGAACAATGCTGCAATTGGAAATGGATTCGGTTCACAGCAACCCTGCATCATCGTTAACAATAATAAAATAATTCATAAAGAGATTTTTCGAACAGTAGTGAACTACAACAACAAAAATTCATTTTATATTATTTTAATTAATTGAATTTTTGGCTGACCATACAGCTGTTTCGAGTATTGCCAAATATTCATCATCAGTGGCCTTGGAAATAATTCTCGTATTTCATTATTAGTAAATAATTTTTTGAGACTGCAAATACCAGCAATCAAACTCGTGCCCTGCCAAATCTGAAGCTCAGAGTCAGCGCACCTTAACCAACTGACCCAAAGCTGTAGTTGACTTGTATGTTAGCATAATTTTCTGGAGTTTTGTTAATATGTTAAGCAAATTTTTATTAACAAATTCACTTGCTGTGTTTATATTAGAATGAAATTATAAACCAGCTGAATTAATTAATTACATTTTTTTTGTTAATTGTTGAATTACAATACTATTCTGTTTGTAGACCCTTTATTTGTTGCATGATTTATATAGTCTTTCTTATGTATATAACCTAATCTAGGAACGTAATTCTGAGAAAGTCATGCTAATGTAACATTGGAAAACTGAATTTAAACATGAATTACTTCTTCACCCACCGTATTCTCCAGTGACTATTACATGTTTCCAAACTTGAAAAGATCTCTCCAGGAAAAGAGATTTGCATCAAATGATTAAGTGAAATGGGAAACTGAGAAATATTTTAGAGAACTGTATAAATTGTATTATTACTTCCAAATGTTGAAAGATCGTTGGACTTGGTGTGTCGAGCCAAAACGGGACTCTATTGAAGCATAAAATATAATTTCTCAAACAAAGCGTAGTTATTACTTAGACTTAGACCGAGTATTTATCAATCACATAGTAGAAGATAAAATCTCAAATATTTATTGTAGCAATATTAATTGATCTTCAGTTCATAGAGGACACTAAAACGATGATGTTACAGAAAGACTAATAGCTTATATCTTAAGCTAAATATAACTCATTTTATATGTTCAAAAAGTATTTACTTAAGTAAGCATGTAAAATATTGACAATATTTTTTTAAAGGTTCATATATATAAAATCAAGTTTAAAACCAAAATTAAAAATTTTCCAAATAAATAATGGATTGATTATTTTCCATTCAAGTGGTTCATTAAACTATAAAAGTAAAATTCAAATAAACTAAAAAGAAAATTATAGTAACAAATCTGAAGAACAGGTAAGTCTTATACATAGAAACTGCACAGTTTTAGTGATTTTTTTATTATGGAGAAGATGATAGCAATATCACTTCTCAGATCTTTTTATTAAAAATACAAATAATTCCAAAAATTATCCAATAATACGTACTATTTTATTATCTGCTAGAATTTAATCTATGTATATTATCTTAAATTCGAAAAGAAATGTTAGGTCCACCTATGTTAGTTGCTACAGTTCAAAGCAGTAGTAATATTTAACTTATAATTAATATTTTCTTTTAAGTGATAGCTGGTACCTATACCTATTGCTATGGTGTTAAGATGAATACATAATAAGCTTTCAACAATTAATTCAGTAATTAAGATTGAAACTGAATAAAAGAGTCTTGATCCAAATTTGTGTTTCAAATACATGCTCTCATTAGAATAAATGACAGTAAATATGATAAATGGGTATATTATATGTTGATATAAATTATTTAATATTTTTATATAGTCTATGCTTAATACTTAGTACAAATATTTGACATAAATTGATTGACTTGGACATACAGAAGTATAGTTTTAGTCAGCACTACCTATTAAAGAGAACCTATGTAAATTCAATCATTGACAATAAAATTTTGCATTATTTATTTAAATAACTACTTAAGAACATAAGCTAACAAATAGTTTTAACGAAAACAAAATAAAAAAATCACAAGATCTTTGAAAACTAAATTTTCGACATTTCAAAAAAAAAACAAAAAAAATTTTCTTCTAAAATCTTATTTTTGTTTCAAGGATAGTAAAACTACATAAGATCAACTCTCCAATCCTTTTTTTCACAGTTGCATTCAAGTTCACAAAATGGCAACACAAAAGTCAAAAGGAAAATGTGTAGACAACGCTTTTGAAAATCGTTACAAACCTGCAAATCGTAAAGAAGGATTTACTAATTCAAAATATGTAGCACCGGTTCCAGTTACCAAGGATAAAAGTATCAAGTCTTCTAGTTCTGGTAAGAAATCGCAATCACCTAAGGTTCCCTTCGTTTCAAGAATTCGAATGCCGAGTGTTTCAGATCCTCGTGGAAAGCATGTATCTAATGGTTCTAAAACTAATTTACCAGAGGTAAGTGCTGACAAAAGCGTAAAGTCGGGCAGTAAAATAGTTGTTGGAAATTTGAAAACCAATTCCCAAACCAATGAGATCGGCGTAAAGCTACGCAAATCTAGTGATGCTATAGTCAGCACTACAATGACTAAGGACAATGAATGTATCAAAAATCAGTATAATATAGCTGCTTTCCTGCAAAAAAGATCATTATCAGATATTGACATATCACACCAAAAGTCAGTTTTAGAGGATAGAAAAACTCAATCTGCAGTCGCAATTATATCTAACGATCATTCATTGGTTAAGAACTATCCTCCTACAACTTATGCTGAATGCCATCTTAATCGTCAATATGCAGCCATGAAGATATATTCCGTTTTACTCTTTAATGTGTGGCAAAAGAAACTCCGTGAAGTCGATCACTTTACTGAGAAACTGGAAGCCATCAAAAAGTCTTACATTGGCTGCAAAAATCAAAAACTTGTGGTTAGTACTATGCTTCGTATGGAGCAAAAGCGTAATCAGAAAATTCGTCAAAAGCTGGATGAGTCTACTGAACTATTACGTACAACTAACGAATCATGCAAGTTCTTACAAAGTACAATTAATTCAATAAACACTGAGAAAAAGGTTCTAGAACAGGAAATTAAAAATAAAGACAATCAATATGATGATCTCCAAACTACAATTGCCTTAGTCGAATCTGAACTAACCAAGGCAATTTCTGAACAAGCTGACTTGCGTATTAAGTTTAACGCAGAGAAGTTTCAGTCTGAGATGTTGACCAAACAAGTTAATAATTTGGTAGGAGTTATATATAAGTTAAATCAACAAAGACGTGTAGTGGTAAATGAATTGTACATGGTATTAGCATTAAAAAATCAACAGTTCTTGAACATGGAAGCCGAAGTTGAAAGTCTTCAGAGTCTGTATGATAAACTAAAGTTGAAAGAGCACGACATTAAGAAATATCAAGAGGAAGAAGAAGTACTCAAGAAGGAATGTGAGGGTTTACGTTTAGAGATAATTAATCTGGAAAATTCCTTAAAGGATACTTATGTGCAGCGCTTTAAGCATTTCTTGAGTGGTAAATTCGGTAATAACTTCGGAATTACAGCATTACAGATATTAGGATTTGCAGCGTTTGCTGTCTGGCCTGTTGCTCCACCTCCATTCATTTTCCCCTGTCCATCTTTTGTAGAGAAAGAACAGTGTAACTGTGGTGTTAAAGAATATTGAGTTCTTTGTTTTCGTTTTGTGATATTATAGTATTATTTAAACATTTATTTCACATATAATTTTAAATTTATTTCACATATAATTTTAAATTTTTACAAAATATTTTTACTTATATACATAACTTTTTTCCTATTGCTATTCTTGAGCTAATAACTGTAGACGCTCTCAAAAACACAACTTTACGCGACTTCTGGTAAAGCACTACATAGAGTTGTGGTTTACTGGATATATTGTGTTACTAAATTTTAATTATTTGATTATGTATAAATTTATAAAATAAAGCGTAGAAATCAAATTTCTTAATTTTTGTTAAGGCATTTTAATTAATAAAATTTCGGAAATAACCAACAAGTTATTTGGTATTCTTAAAGGGTGAATAACTTTTTAAATGACTCGTATAATATATTGTTTTTTTATTTTTTTATTTTTTCTTTTTTATAACATTTTGAATAAATTTTATTTATAGATATTTTTATTATTGCTCAGATACATATTTTCTCTATTAAAATTCAAGACTTGGTTTCGAGTGCGTGTCAGGTGTAAAGGAAATGTTTCTTCCTTCACGTACTATGAGTAATTTTGTTTCTTTTCACATATGGAATATATTATTTTTTATTAAATTCATTCAAAATAATTTATATATATGACATTTTTAGAAAACAGAAGTGAGAAAGCTGTCAAGGAAATTATCTTGATGCAGATTTTTTAATCAAATAAGAGAATTAATTTCATAAGATAATCAATATTAATTATAAAACAAATAAATTAAAGTCAAAGAATTATACTAACTATGAACTTATTTTATGTGTATTTAATGTATATATAATAAATTCAATTAACTACTTTACTTTCAAATTAATATATTTTTAAAAAATTGAAGTAATGACTTGGCGTATTTACATTCATATTTACATAAGAGATATTATGTTCATGTTTAACTGAAATAATATTTAAATATACTTTTAGTACACAGATCACTTTTGTTAAATTGAAAAAATACTCAAACGTTTGTTAATTTGCAACTGGAGAGTTTAAAGTCATATGTGTAAATAAGAAGCTTAAATAATCCATACATAATTAGTAGGTATACCCGCACACATTCTTTTTACCACAATTAAGCACCATGTTTCAACATATATAATTAGAAGAAAATGTTAACTTTGTGGTGAGGTGTGACTTACGCCTTGAACCTATTGATAATAGGCAACAAAGAACCTTTCACAACTCTTATCGAAGTCAGTATGTTCCTGTGGAATGCAAACCAAGCACCGGAGAAAGCCAGAGAAAGCAAACTTTAATAGTAATCATTCCATCTTAAATTTATTATTTACAACAATAAATCTTAATTATCGACTACTGATGAAAAGGAAGAATAGAATATAGTTGAGATATTTTAACACGCATGATTTATAGTTTAGAATAACTTTCACAAAATCTATTATTGGTAATTTGGTAAGTTCATGAAAATCTTTCAATTATTTTTGCAAAATCTTAATACAACAATAAAGTTCAAGATTAAAATTTAAAAACAAAAAAAAAATTAATTCTAATCTTTATTATTTTTAGTAAATTTTACTTAATAAATCAAACACTTTCGTTTGAATGGACCAATTAGATGAACTCATTATTGAGTGAAATGAATCATTTAAGACATTACTTCTGTGATTAAGATTGATAATTAATCTTAAAAATCAATAATCAATAATTATTATTAATAATAATTATTATTATCATAATAATAATGATATTCAATAATTGATAATCAATCTTAATAATAAAAAACGTTGCAAAATAAAAAGTATAATAAATACTTCACTAAAAGGAATACTTCACTTCGAATCACATTACTCGAAATAGTAATTTTGACTACAATAATCGTCTGGAATATTAGCACAGATTTTAAAGTTCTCACAAAAGCAAATATTTGGTTATTAAAAATGGGGGCATGTTTTTATATAGTACGTAGCCCCACTAGTGAATATGTGCACAAAGAAAAAAATCATAACCATCTCCTCTTAAATTAATCCAAAATCGTAACTCCACCTAATTTAAGATCACACTTAGGTAAATAAGTAAGGTATGTTGAGTTAACTTTGAGACGAATCAACCTTTAACCTATATTATAAGAAAACCTAAAAAACATTACTTAAAACCAATTTTTCAGCAACTTTCAATGCACTTTCCATCAATTCTTAATCCATTTTCCATCTATTATCTAGCATTAGCACATAAGTATTTGGATATTTAAAACAAAAAATTCACTAAAATTTGATGTCCCTTAGACTATTGTAATTTGAAGGTATATCTAGTATGACGAGGAAAATATTGAAGATCGTAGGCCAAACATGTTCTTGATCAGCGTAACAATAAAGGGATGTACATCTTATTTGTTACGATGTCTTGTCTGTTTATCTGATGATTTGTTTATTAACAAGCAACTTATCTCAGCTTTCAGTTAATCGATAATGCACCTGAACAGTTTTGATGAAACAAGGTGAACACAATTTTAATATAAATAAAATTAATTAATCCTAAAATAATAGGTCTCTTACAAAATAACTGCAAAAATTGTTGATATATTTATATGTAAGTTAAGTATATACACTATAGAAATCCATGAATGTACATAACATCTGTCGTAAATAATAATATGTCTAGTACTTTTTGACAACGCCTAAAGGTAAATCATGAACCCCTTATTTGTTTAATACCTATATGTTTAATATCCCTGGATGACGTTGAACTTTGGTGTGTAGGAAGTCAATCCTGAGCAGCGAAGAGATCTCTCAGTTTCGAATTTTTTATGAAAGGTAATAACCTTGGATCTTCAAATTCGGAAAAGAAATAATGGAGGACAAGTTGAATAGAGGTCATAAACGAGTATACCACCAGCGTTCGCTGTGGTGTTCGCTGTTTCTGATGATCGAAACGATCAAGTGCTGACAATATGCTTTGGATGAAGATATGCCTTGTTGCCAGAACTAGATGAATGGTGAACATCAGAGACCGTACTTAGCTGTTGCACTAATATCTGCCATAACGCTGCCTTAAAAACGTTTACTGTAGTGAATCTGAACGATAAATTGAATTAATCTTTTTTAAATGGAATTCTTACCATCGTCTTAGAAGAAGTGTATCCAATATAGCATATAGCAATATAGCATGTGGCTTGTGGAATTACCGAAAAGTAATACCACGAGGTGTGAAACGACAATCAAACTGCGTTTAAGTTTCTGTTAATCCCTAAAGTTCTTTGAGTTCTTATGAGTTCCAGATCGGTGGGGTGTCGTTGGCAATGAAATAGCGGGTAACTTGGCCAATGAAGATAGAATTCCTTCATTGGGGGTACGACTTTGTACGACACTCAATTCACAAAAAAGGCTGTCCGAAAAGAAAGTCTGTAAGACAACACTTTGTTAAGAAACCTGACAGTGGATATAAGACAGAATAATCCTCACCCTTTATTGAGGTGCTGTTTTTTAGAGTATCATTGCGTTTTCATAGATGAAAAGTTTTTTTCCCATGCTTAAAATCTCATCTTGTCATAAATACTGTTATATGCTTTTTACTATACAACATACTTGGAACATCTGTACATTCATTATACGAGCATTTTATTTTTTATGTGTATTTTAGAATATGTCAAAAACCATGTAAATTCCCTTGGTGTATTTTGTTAAATCTTCATTGCAGCATACCGCTGACTTGTTTATTGCATTGTTTACTGCAATTAAACTTGTCAAAATATTTTAGAATTTTTACGGTTTTTTACTTCGAAAAATTCGGTTTAAATAAATTCACAGAAATTTTTGTCGGAATAACTACTGCAAATTATAGCGCAGCAATCATTGATTTTCAGCAATTATCTTAAGTCGCTAACTACAATTTAAGGACACATGAATTGGATTGCATGTCTTATATGAGATACATTTTTAAGCTTCCGAAATTTCAATGGCGCCACTAATTACACGCAAACGGACATTTAATTACGAGGAACCAAAAATTAAACAAGTTAAATTAAGTTGAATGACTTTGCTGGGGTCATCCTTGGTACTTGTACATTCAAATAATACGAATTCCATATGTTTTGCTATATAAATGGTATGAATGAAAATAATTTTTTTCTATACGATTTTCCAACTGAAGTGACTCTTCACGTTGAAGTTTTTTTTCAAAAATTACATATAAAACATAGTAAGTTGTTCAGATACATAAAAATCCAAATCTTACTATAAGTATATATATACATATGTTTGAAGAGATGCCGGTTTCTCTCAAACATAATTTATTTAGTAGAAGACTTATCGCAAACTTATATTTAAATGGAATCAAAAAAAAAAAAGTATAAATAAGAGTTAAGTTTCCAGTTCTGGAAAAGTATGCAATCAAAAGAAATTGTATATCCTTTTGAATATAAGTAGTTTCCGACGCGGACGGAAGCTCCTTCCTTCCAAACTCGGTTATAACTTAATAGATGTTAATCAAAATGTTTTAATTTACACTAATAAATTGTAAGTAACATGTCCGTTCAATGTCTGGAGCTCTAAACCCAAAATGGAATATATTTGCAATGCCATATTGTTGATATATATCAACAATATATCTATATACAGAATATATATATACATATATATATACAGAATATATCTTCTGTATCCATATCTTCAACTTTACGTCAAAAGAAAGTGGTAGTCATATGACTATAACATAGCAATCAAAATTAATAATTTTTACTAGACTCTATTTTCAATTTCTAGAATGTATGAGTCTATGACTTCTCCAATTCAAATCTCATAAGAAAATATGCTTTTTCGTGAAAATTGCATCAAGTACAACATTTAAGTGGTATATCCTCGTAGCAAATAATTATTCTCATTATTTAAGAAAATACTAAACGAAAAATTGTCACCCGAATACTGTTCGAGCGGCTAATCAGCGCTTATTCCATAGCTAGCATGATCCACATTGGTCCGTATACATTACAACCATATGATACCTTGGAATAGTGTTGCCAAATCACAACCACGAAATTGATAAAATTCGTCAATATATTTTGGGTAATATTATTATGTTAAAATCAGTAAACTATCAGTAGTGGTTTAGTAAAAAATTTCTTTTATAAAAATTAATCAAGATTAATAGATTATTATAAGAAATGGAAAGAATTTAATTTTGTCGAATAAGCAACGAAGGCAATATAATTTGTCGAGTTTCAAATCATACAAGAACTATTGATATTAAACTGGATGCAGTTGTGATCAAAATATGAATAAAGGCTTGA